TTTAATTGTAAACATTCGTGTAGAAGTATTTAGGGATACATTAATATCCTAAGACATATTCTAAAATAGAAGCAATAAGAAACTCTAAAGTTTAGAATTCAAACTTATAAAACAAGCAGAACTAAAGAGTGACCTTTCCTCTACAAGACTGAATAATACTATATACAGTAATTAATTACGATACATTAATTGGTGAGAGAATTTTCTAGGGTTAGAGAGTGTCAGCAGCACCCAGCAAGATGAGGATGCCAGTGACGATATGATGCAGGGTTGTTGACAAGTAGAGAGGACCCATCCATTAGTGCAACTTGTTGTCTCTTTACGGATTATTATTTAATATAACAAATTAAAAAATCGTATATAGAACTTGTTTGAAGGCGACGTGCAATAAATCATAATCTATACTATATATAAAAACAAAATCCTGAAATTTTAACTTCCCGCCCAATTCCTAAAAAATCTCTCTTCCTATAAAATATATTGATTTCTACTTTCCCATTTGTACAATAATTCTGCGTTAAAATTCTATTTTAATATTATAAAATAGTGTAATACAATCTATATTCTATATTATATATAAAAACAAAATCCTGAAATTTTAACTTCCCGCCCAATTCCTAAAAAATCTCTCTTCCTATAAAATATATTGATTTCTACTTTCCCATTTGTACAATAATTCTGCGTTAAAATTCTATTTTAATATTATAAAATAGTGTAATACAATCTATATCTATATCTATATTATATATAAAAACAAAATCCTGAAATTTTAACTTTCTGCCCAATTCCTAAAAATCTCTCTTCCTATAAAATATATTGATTTCTACTTCGTACAATACTTCTGCGTTAAAATTCTATTCTAATATTATAAAATAGTGTAATACAATAAAAACAAAATCCTGAAATTTTAACTTCCCGCCCAATTCCTAAAAAATCTCTCTTCCTATAAAATATATTGATTTCTACTTTCCCATTCGTACAATAATTCTGCGTTAAAATTCTATTTTAATATTATAAAATAGTGTAATACAATCTATATCTATATTATATATAAAAACAAAATCCTGAAATTTTAACTTTCTGCCCAATTCCTAAAAATCTCTCTTCCTATAAAATATATTGATTTCTACTTTCCCATTCGTACAATACTTCTGCGTTAAAATTCTATTCTAATATTATAAAATAGTGTAATACAATCTATACTATATATAAAAACAAAATCCTGAAATTTTAACTTTTCGCCCAATTCCTAAAAATCTCTCTTCGTATAAAATATATTGATTTCTACTTTCCCATTCGTACAATACTTCAGCGTTAAAATTCTATTCTAATATTATAAAATAGTGTAATACAATCTATACTATATATAAAAACAAAATCCTGAAATTTTAACTTCCCGCTCAATTCCTAAAAAATCTCTATTCCTAATAAAATATATTGATTTATACTTTCCCATTCGTACAACAATTCTGCGTTAAAATTATATTCTAATATTATAAAATAGTGTAATACAATCTATACTATATAACAAAATCCTGAAATTTTAATTTCTCCCCTAATTCCTAAAAAATCTCTCTTCCTAATAAAATATATTGATTTCTACAATAATTCTGGGTTAAAATTTTATTGTAATATTATAAAAGTGTGTAATACTATTCCTATTCTAATCTATATCTATTTTATATATCAGTGTTGCAAAAATCATGTCGCTAGCCGCGGCGAGGAAGATCGAAATCGGCCTCCTCATCTGCCACCTCGCCGGCTGAACCAGCCTTTCATTTTTTTTTTTTAAAGTTGTAAAGTGTCAAAAGTTCGGCACGGCATAACTTTTGACTCCGTTGTCCGTTTTGGACAAATGTTTTTTTGAAATCGCGTATTTTTTCGAGATCTATCCACCGCAAACTGCCGTAGGCGGTTTGGCCCACCAATTTCTAAAAAAATACTTTATTAAAGAGTTTCTAAGAAAAAACTATGAGAACCTTATGTTTTATTAATGAATTTTTAAAATTTTTAATTAAACAATTGTCCCGTGCATTATTTAATAATCTTTCTTTATAATTGGTCAAATTATTTAATTATGGTAAATTTGGGAATAATTAATTATGGTAATAGAAATCTTAGAAGAATATAGAATTGAACAATATTTAATTATTGTTATATTATTATTGTGACTCACGGAATACAAGAGTTAATGTCATTTTTGGTCCTAGACTTATTTGGGGCATTGACACTTTTCATCCTCCATAATAAAAATTGCCACTTAGTAGCCACTGTTATTGATCGTTGGACAGTTTTGATCCTCCATCAATGACGCCGTTTGTTGACCGTGAATTAGAAGGGTTTTTCTATCTTTTTATGTTCTAATCCTTGTATTTCTCCATCCATTGGTCACTGCTACATCCATTTCTTCAAACTGAGGTTATCCGCTCCAGTCCTTTCTAACATTAAGAAACCATCTTCACCCAACTAACAATCACGAATTTTACATTTGACATCAATCTCAAGATAATGGAAACAAGTGCAGTTGGAATAGAAAGGGCGTTAGTCCATGCCTGTGGAAATTTTGTCGAGCATACAACATAACTAGCAAAGTCAGGAATATCACCCAACCCCTCTCTTAACCTTTTTGCATCAACTATAATAGGTACGCCCCTACTCTTTGCATCCTGCACTACAATCAAAGCAGTCTCATGCAGCCTTCCATCTAAGTAGACAATATTTACTCCAAGCGCTGAAGACAATTTTGATTTGGGTATGTAGACCCTCAGATATCATGGGTGGATATCCTGGAGTGAAAATGCACGTGCGAGTTTTTTTTTTTTTGTTGTCAACAATGACATATGTGAATGGTGAGTTTCCTCCTTTGGACACCACCATAAAAGATGTATCAACACCATCCATTTCAAGCTCATCAAGTATTCTTTCGCCATGCGAGTCATCAGCAACGTTAGATATGATCCTTGGATTAAGACCAAGACGAATTTTATCATCCGGGTTTTATCAAAGCATTGTCAGTGTTACCACCTCCTTGAACCTCAAAGCTGGTGCTCCGAATTTTATCATCCGGGTTGGGGAATGAAGCTACAGTAGCCAGGAAGTCAACACCGGCCATTCCAACACCTCAGACAATGCGATTTTTGGGGAGCGGCGGATTCCACATTTTCAGCTTAAAACTTCAATGAATTTCAGGTAGAATAACAGAGTTTTTGGGGTTGTGCACCAAGTAGTTGTGGTCAGAGAGAGAGAGAGAGAGATGTGAAGGATATTTGTGGTCAATATGGAAGGGAGGACTTACAGGTGCAAATTCTACATCACGCCATCTACAACTACAACTGCTATTTACCATAGGAGGGTTCGCCGACCTGCTGCCCTCTCTGCTTCGCCGGAACCAAAAACCACCGGTGAAGGCCCCAACCTCGCCGGATCTGTTGCTGCACCGCCAGATCTGCCATCGCCGGAAGGAGTTACTGCCTCGTATGCTCGTCGCCGTACCCACAACTCGCCGGAGAAGAACCTCGCTGCTACTCACTACCGACGGTTACTACTTAGCAGCCAAGTCTCGCCATCTCGCCTCACAGGAGTCACAACAGCGCTGGTCTAAACAAGATTAGAAGAATAAGACATAAAAAGACAAAAAAGCCCTTCTAATTCACGGTCAACAAACGGCTTCATTGACGGAGGATCAAAACTGTCCAACGACCAATAACAGTGTCTACTAAGTGGCAATTTTTATTATGGAGGATGAAAAGTGTCAATGCCTCAATAAGTCTATGACCAAAAATGGCATTAACTCCGGAATACAATACAAGAATATTTAATTATGGTTATATTATTATTGTGCCTCACGACCATTATATACTAACAGTACTTGAAAAGAAACTAATAATAATAATAATAATATAAGTGGTATTAATAATATCTAAAAGTAATTAAGTGTTAATAATAATAGTAAGAATATTAACGTAAGAGTTGTAACATAGAATAAATTGTAATAATTAATAACTATAGTCTAGGATTAAATTTGGAATTGTCAGGAAAGATAAACGACCTCTGGTGAAATCAACTCTTAAATAATTATATATCGATTTAAATATTCTTAATATATTACAACAATTTCATTCCGTGCATCGCACGGGTGAAAATACTAGTATATATATAATAAGATTCAAGTGCGGGATGTGGTGTCACCAATAGTTCAACAAATATACACTATCAACGTGAGGAAAATGCACCACAAAAACACACAACTTAAGTAAGCATCACCAAAAACACACCATTAGGTGTGGGTAAAAACATCCTACAATATTCAGAAATATACCGTACCATTTGAGTGTGGTGAGTTTTCCCTTACACTGTTGGTGTATTCTGAAATTTCGCCACACCTAAAAACATCGTCCCATTTGAACTTTTTCATATATATATATATATATATATATATATATATATATATATATATAGAATAAAGTTCAAATGCGGCGGGGTCTTCCCGTGCGACGTGCGGCGGAATTCCAGAATACACCAACAGTGTTAACAATATGCACCAACAGTGTAATAAAAGCACACCACAATGAAATGTAATAAAACATCACAAAATACACAACAGATTCAAAAAAAATACACCATATAACTCACCACCCCCAATGGTGTATTTCCGAACAGTGTATGGTGTTTTTACTCACACCTAATGGTGTGTGTTTGGTGATACAGGGCTTTGTTTACTCTGTTTTGTGTGGTGTATTTTCCTAACGTTGATGGTGCATATTTGTTGAACTATTGGTGTTGTCGCACCGTAAGAAATAGCCGCACCGTAAGACACTGCCGCACCTGAACCCGCCTCTATATATATATATATATATATATATATATATATATATATATATATATATATATATATATATATATATATATATATATATAATTCAACCAAGTTTCTCCCAACACTTACTAGCTAACCTTGCTAACTAAACCGGCCATCCAGATCAGAAACCGGCCGGCCGGCGGCCAGCAGGCTAGCTTTAAATTAAAGATGGTGAATTTGAAGAAAGGAGCATGGTCGCCTCAGGAAGACAGAAGATTGATCTCCTACATCACCAAATATGGCATCTGGAACTGGTCCCAAATCCCCAAATTTGCAGGTATATATATATATATATTCCCACCATCTTCCGTTTCTGATGATCTCTGATCTTCTCATATATATGCCCGCAGGGCTTGCAAGGACCGGAAAAAGCTGCCGGCTCCGGTGGAAAAACTACCTCCGGCCAGACGTTAAGAGAGGGCCGTTTAGCGTCGAAGAAGTTGAGGTTATTGTCAGAATGTATCTCTCCCTTGGTAACAGGTATTTATATTTGTAACTGCATGTATGTATGTATTCAGAAATCAAGGCCAGGAACTCCAACCAAATTGGTAAGACTGTCGACTTGATTCATAACCACAAAATTACAATTTCTACTATCGTCAGATCGAGCAGCCTAGCTATTGGTCTTCTTTGTTTGAGCTAATCATCCTAATCTAATTTAAACCTTTAGATTAATGGAGTTTCTTAATTGGTATATATGTATGTATATTATATTTAGATGGTCGGCCATGGCAGCACAGCTTCCGGGAAGAACCGACAATGACATCAAGAATTTCTACCACACTCACTTAAAGAAGAACCTGCAGGAAGCCGTCAGCGTTCCGGTCTCCTCACGACGGTCGGCGGCGGAGAACTGCCGGAAAAGGACCAACAAGAGCAAGAACGACGACAATGCTCCGCCGCCTGTTAATGTCGTCGTCGTCGCAGAAAAACCTCATCATCATAGTCACGACGACCATGTTCTTCTGGACAGCAGTCCAGGTGGATTTGGAAACCCTAATGTTGCTCGTGATCAAGAATTTCATCACCCTTTCACTTCAGTATCAGCTGCAATGGATAGGATGAGTCTTTCCTCCGAGGAGGACTACGATGAAGACAAGTCTTTCTGGTACAACGTACTAAAGAAAGCCGACGATCTCAAGTTTTAGATAGATCATAGATGATAATGTAAGAATGCTTTGGTGTTTTCAATCCCCATATCTCCACTACTAAATAATGCAGATTTAGCCACTTTACATTCAGTTGTTAGATCGACTAGCAGGGTGTACCTTAAACCCTCATCCTAAATTGTGTATTTTTAGTATTGAGATTGTAAACATCTAGAATATAAATTGTATTTCTAAGTTTTGAAAATTTGTGAATATAATACAAGGTTATAATAAATTTTGAATTTTGTAAATATTTATTATGGCTCTGTTTGGCAAACCTAGCTGAAAAGCTATAAGCTAGGAGCTGATAGCTGAAAAGGAGCTGAAAGCTGAAAAGCTATAAGCTCGGAGCTGAAAATTGAAGAGCTGTTAAGCTAGCTGTTATGATTGAAAGTGTTTGGTAAAATTAGCTTTTTGGTAAGCTGATAAATGTAAAAAGACTAAAAAGGACATCTTCATAAAATTTAAATTAGTTTGTTTACATATTAAAATTTAACATTTCGTCTTCCAAAAAAAGTAAACACTTTTTAAAATAAAACTATTAGCATGATCATGATCTAGCATCCCATAATGAAGTAGCAATATTATTGCGAATATCCTTCACCTCCATAGAGGTGTGACTTAAATTTTCGTTGATGGAAATATTACTACTTGAATCTTGAAGTTCATCGGGCGGTATGTAATCTGGATGCTGCTCAGGCACATTAAACATCATGTCATCTTGTGAATTCTTCCGAATATAATTATGTAGTGCAAATGTGGCCATAATAACATCAATTTGGGTCTCCTCACTAAATTAACTGCGGCGTTTTAGCAAGTATTTCCATCTCTTATTCAATACTCCAAACGACCTCTCAATACAACTTCGAAGAGAAGAATGTCCACGATTGAATGCTTCTTGAGCATTAGTTGGCGGCTCTTGTTCAACTTGAGATTGAAGCCATATTGCTAATTTTAAAATAACATTAATAATAATAATAATAATAATAATAATAATAATAATAATAATAATAATAATAATAATAATAAGCTAAAGTTTCAACATAATTGTTTAGCAGGAAACAAAACTAAGGAAGGGATTGACGTGAAAGTTGGGATAGGGGAAGAGAAAGGGTTTTAATTTATAAGGTTAAAATATGTCATTACTTTAAAATAATAAGGGTAAAGATGAAAAAAAAGTTAGGAAGCTAGTAGCTTATTTTGAAACGCTACCTAAAGTAGCGTTCCAAAATAAGCTCTTATTTTAAGCTAGGAGCTTATTTTGGGAACATTACCAAACAGAGCTTATAGCTTATTAGTAGCTTAAAATAAGCTATAAGCTCCTAGCTTAGCGTTGCCAAACAGAGCCTATGTAAATTATGCATCTTTGAATCGGAGTACATAGAATAATTTGCCGTTATCATTGTTATTAACCATCGATCAGCTTATATCAATGGCCCAAAATTGTTAGATTGATCTCCAAGAATTTTATTATGATCTCAATCTTTCTTATGTTATACATGGTGTTTTTTTTTTTAAATAATAATAAATTTTCAGACATCCCGTATTTTCACTCGCTACTAGAAATTATGGAATTTCCGACCACCTGAAAGTGATCTTGAATCAAGTTGATACCAAAAAGTGGTCGGAAATAGCAACAAAGGTTGAAAAATCAAAAGTGGTCGGAACAAAGCTTTTTACTTGATTTAAGATCATTTTCAAGTGGTCGAAAATTTCATAATTTCTAGTAGTGACTATTGCGAATTTGATAGGATAGTCTTTCTTACATTATATATTCAGTCTTTCACAGGGATGCTTTAATTTTCTGCCAAAAATATAGATGTTTGGAATATTCTGGTTATTTACATGCAATTTTTCTCTCTTTTTTTGGTTGATATGAGCCAAATATTTCATATTCACGAGTTTAATCATGGCTAACACCCTCTCAATTCATTTGCACAGAATTTTTCTAGTTGATTAATTTATTTCTATTGCGTGATTTGCAGACTATTTCATGATTTTACTCCGTATGTACCATTAATAATGAGTGAAGCATATCTTGAATTCTAGTTGTCAAAGGATCACAAGAAGATAAACTAATCTAAGTTAGCCAATTCATAATAACTAACCAGCTCAAATCGAAATTAAAGAAAAAATTCAATATACAGCTCCCAAAATCAAACTTAGAAGCTTATGATCAATAAACATAATTTTTGTTTTTCAGGTCTTCAGAACTTAGACACAAACATAATATTTTTAATTGCATTCAAATTCAAATAATATTGGATCTTTTGCCCTTTGTTGAAGGCCTCAACGACTTTTGAATATTCATTTTCTTACCATTTTTAATAAGCAAACCAATCATATGCGATTCAATTTTATTTTTTTGTAAAGACTATAGTTAAACAATATAGAATTAATTAAGCTAAGGTAACGACCAAGACTTTGGCTTGCACTTTAGTGCACATAATAATAATATTATTTTCTTCTTTCTCGATAATATTTACATTTTTTAAGGTTTATCATGAACCGACCACTGCATGTTTCACTTTCAAATGTAGAAACTTGGCTGAGACTTGGGAGACTATTGAAAATGCGACCATGAACTGCACATTTTCTTCTGCATATTTATTTATTAGTATTTATTTAGCAGTAGACTATAATTTAGGGTTGTTTTCTTCATAGAATATTTTGGGTTCTGGATAAGAGTTAAGGACAAGAAACTTAAATGTAGTCCTATCATGCAGGGAAGAGCAAAAAATTCAGTTGAGGGGCAAAGAAGTAGGGATGAATTCAGAAATTTTTTTCAGCAAAGGCGAAACATTAAAACAAAAGAGATAATTAAAAAAAAAAATAAACGCATTTCATTATTAATATAAAAGAATGTTATGTGTGTGTATTAAATATTAAAGGGAAAATGGTCAAATAGGCCCTTCAACTTTAACTAAAAAGTCAATTAGACACCTAAACTTTGTAAATGAGCAATTAAACCCATCAACATTACATTTTGGTGCAATGAAGTCCAAAAACCTATTAGTGACCTGTTATCACAGGTTACTAGGGTTCCGGCCAACAATCTGACTAACTCCGGTGATATTTCCAGTGAATCAACGGTGGAAACGGACGAAAAGGCAACCAGTAAGAAAGCAACCGCCTAAAAATTGCAGATGCACAGAAATTAATTTGCTGTTGATGTCGTACGGAACCTGCGCTGAGGAGAAATTTGTTGCCGTTGAACGCGCTGAAGAAATTGCTTCCGCCAATGACTCGTCGCCGAGAATCTACTACCACCCAGGAATTAAATATTTTTTGTTGCCTAGAATTAATCACTAGCGTTGAACCACTTACTGAAGCAAAATTAAAATTGCGTTGTTCAGTGATTAATCGTTGAAGCCGAATGGAGCCTTCAACAATTGATTCCGGAATTGAAGCTGTTGAACAGAAAAAACATGGCCCATGGGTAAGGTGTTTTTGACCCAAAAGTTTTGTTAAAATGGAAAAGGGAATTTTTTTGAAAGTTTTGGGTCAAATTGTTCAAAGCTTTTCGGTTCAACAACTTCAATTCAAGAATCAATTCAACCGCATCCAGTGGAAACCGGCGACGAGAAAGTAGGGCCTATTCCAGAATTGAAGATGTTAAACTGACAAGCAACGCAGATGAGAATCGTACGACGCTTTCTCCAACTTGTTTCTCGTCGCCGGTGGTCGGAATATCGTCGGACGACCACCGGAATTCTAGTTACCTGTTATTACAGGTCACTAATTTGTTTTTTGGCCTCAATGCACTAAATTGACAAGTTTGTGAGCTTAATTGCAACTTTTAAAAGTTAGAGGGCCTAATTGACTTCTGGTATAAAGTTTGAGGGTGTATTTGACCCTTTTCCCAATATTAAAAAACGATTAAAAATGTGACTGTGTTGAACCAACACATCTAAATCAACTCTTGTTAACATTCAATAGTTTTATTTTACTAATACTAACACATATACTTATATACACATATATACATACAAAAATGATATATGAGGTAGTGGGGGTGGGGTGAGGGGGGCAGCTGTCCCCTTTGGCTCCGTCCCTGCTGTCATGGATTCATGATTTCATGGCAGCGATTGGTGCATAGTAACTATATATTATTTTTGGATAACGATAGAAACTTGCAATCACTATCTAACGAGATAAACTTGTAGACACTATCTAAGGGCATGCACCGAGTAAATCTTACATTGTAATCCTAACCAGCAAAGGACCACAACGAGGTAAATCAGGACATGCACCGAGTAAATCTTAGATTACAATCCTAACCAGCAAAGAACAATGACTCAATGAGGTAAATCAATTTAGATTTTCCATGACCGACTCAAACTAAAAGGCCTAACGAGATTGATGGGTAAATACGCACAGAAGACTGATCTGTATAGCCAGTCCGTCAAGAAGTCATCCAACCGGTCTGTCACGGTCATGAACCCGACATGACTAAAACACTTGTGGTCAACCGTACCGTTCGTACCGATAGGCCTCGTGACAAGAGAAGATGCTATCGGATCATCCTTGGAATCGCCCCGACGGAAAGTCACCCGGCCTGTCTACCGTAGGGTGACCGGTCGGCCTGCAGTATGACGTAGCCTTCAGAGCCGAAAACATAACCTACACGACAAGTTATAAGGGCCAACTTGCACCTGCAGAGCGACGACTGACAACCTGCAAACGTAGCGGTTCTGCCTCATCGATCAGTCAACCTACGCATAGTTGCAGACGACCGCCTAACCAAACCAATGGGAAGACGCCACGTCAAGCCACTTGCAGTAGGCGCATTAAATGCGTAGGCCGACTTAGTATAAATAGGAGGGTCTCCCCCCTCACTTCTGATATCTTCATCTCATCACAACTACTACTCACCACGTTGTAACCTATTACTTGTAATATTACTCAGCCTCGGATCGCTCAGTCGTCGCCCGGTAGACCGATCGACTAACCTATGAGCGCTCTATTCTACTTGTTCACAAACATATGTATTCATAGTG